GACGCCACCTGTCGCCCCCAAATACGAATCGTGGCACTATGGCACAAATATCCCGTAGAGCACGTTTCGGCTGTCAGCGTGGCAGCCAGGAATTTGCCCAGAAGCTTTCGGAAACAGTGCGCAAGTTCTTAATCGTGTTTTGCGCCTGACGACATAATGAAATCGACGTAGACGTGTCCTTTTGTTGTCTCGATTTTCCTGAGAGTCGACCAACACGTGCTCCGTGCAACAACGGGATGTCTCGTTGAAAATATCGATTCATGGAGGCGGTGCCCAGGTTGATGATTAGTCAGTTGCAAGTGCCCACACTTGCCATAAGGATCAAGATTTAGTGTGCAATAGCAGTCCTTCCAGCTGCTACGACAGCAAGGGCACTTCTTGGGGTAGCGCTGATGTAGATAGCACGCTGCTGGTGGGCTTTCAGAAAACGACCACCGTTGCGTTGAAACGCTCGCCGACGCCAATCATCATGCTTACGCATATGTGAACCTAGCAAGCAAGCCGCGTGCCTCCATCGCGCGGCTCGTTCTTCCCAGTCTTGCAATGTCACAGCGGCTAGAACCCCCAATCCTGCTGCAGATGCGGCCCACATACTGTGACGATCATGCCAGATTGCCTTGCACGCAATTTCCGAGCAAGAGCGATCATGCCGGAAAGCGCGTATTTCTAGGGAGAATACCAAGAAGATCAGGTAGCATAGGTCAGTTCTCCACTATTTGACCATGTAGAAGAAGACAAGAGGAATCTATTATTGCACAAAAGTTCGCAATATCATGCATCACACTTCGCTACGAAGGAGAAGGAGAAGGACGTGAGGAATTTGACGCATCAGAATGCCGCACTCGGCGCATGCCCGATACGCCATCGACGCAAATGGAAGCATCAGGCGAGCAATGTGCAAGGCGCGTCAGGGATGCGCTGATTACATGACGGATTTCTTCTTGACACTTGAAATTCTGCAGTGCAGAGCATGGGAAACAGACGCTTATTCGAGCATGCAACGAGCCACTATACAAACATACATGTGCAGCGCACGGGTACGCGGGCGCCGTCATGTTGGCGGGGCACCGCGTTGGCTGCCGCCCGAACCCTTCGGGCACGCGGCTCTCGGCCTCGTCCTCCTCCTCCTTCTCCTTCTTCTCATTGTACTTGTTACTTGCTGTCTCGATTCATCTGGCGATCGACTGCTCCTCCTCCTCCTTCTTCTCCTCCTTCTCCTCCTCCTCCTCCTCCTTCTCCTCCTCATCATTCTCCTCTTGCTCCTCCTCCTCCTCCCCCTGTTACTCATTCTCTTCCTCCTCCTGATCCTCCCTCGCAGCGGAGGACCGCGACTGGCTGGCGTACTTCAACGGGATGCGCAGCACGGGTCTCCGCGACGCGATCTTCGATCTGGCCGACGCACACCCAAAGGCGGGCGTCCGAAATCTCTTGCGTGCAGCCGGTTTCGGCCTGGCCGTTGGGTTTCTGCGGTAAAACCGGCGGTTCCTCATCTTCCTCCTCCTTCTGGCGGAGCCAGAGTTTGCCCACACCGATCATCTAGAGTTGTTTTCTAGGCGCATGCCGACGCCGGGAGGTGCTGCCGAAAATCAGCTACGTGAATTCATTCGGTCATCCCACCATTGACTACCCGACGCCCGTTCGTGCGACCCGACCCTTCTCCTCCTCCTCCTCCTCCTCCTCCTCCTCCTCCTCCTCCTCATCATCATCATCATCATCATCATCTTCATCATCATCATCATCATCATCATCATCATCATCATCATCATCATCATCATCATAATCCTCATCATCCGCCTCCTCCTCCTCATCATCATCCTTTCCTCCTCCCGCTGGCGGAGCCACAGTCCGCCCACACGGGTCATGTAGGGCCACTTTCTGAGCACAATCCCAGCGACCCAGTAGCGGTGTCGCGTGCTGCGGCAGCGCGCCTCGCCTGGCCCTGACGACGAGGTGGGTCTCTGAGAGCCAAGAGGAGGAGGAGGAGGAGGAGGAGGAGGAGGAGGAGGAGGAGGAGGAGGAGGAGGAGGGGGAGGGGGAGGGGGAGGGGGAGGGGGAGGGGGAGCGGGAGGAGGGGGAGGAGGAAGGCGGAGGGAGGAGGAGGGAGGAGGAGAAGAGGTGACCGGAGGAGAAGGAGGAGGAGGAAGAGGAGGAGGAGGAGGAGGAGGAGGAGGGGCGGTCACAGGGAGAATGATGGGGAAGATAATGCGGGCCCTCATTCCCGTCCTGGTAAGTCTTGCTCCCGCCCCCGATCCCGACCCCGGGAGGCCCCAGGAGGTCCCCCCGAGGTCCCCGGAGGCCCGAGAAGGACCGAAAGCGCCCAATAGCCGTCCGAACACGTCCGGAATGCCCCTCCGATCCTCGGGCAGGGCCAGGGGCACGACTTCTGGCTGGACGAGCCCCCTCCGTGCGGCCCGCCCCTCGCCGAGCGGAGCGCCGCGGCAGAGCAGGACGGCAGCCGGCATCGCTGCGCCTCGCGGCCTTCGGGCGCCCTGCGCCGCGTCCCGCCCGGGGCCGTCGGAGTGCGGCCTTCGGGCGGAGGGCCAGCCCTTCGGGGCGCATCTGTCGGGTTGGCCCAAACGGGGGTCCAGCGGCAAGGGTCGTGCAATAGATTTTCGGGGTTGCAATGCACTCGGGGCGCACAATACATTCTGGGGCGCAGCGGTATTGCTGGGTTTTCGCGTGCAAGAAATTAGTTGCAATACAACGCAGTACAATTCTACAGCGCAGTACGTTTGCAATACAATTGCCCCAAATCCATTGCACCACCCCCTTTCAGCTGGATCCCTTTTGGGTCGACCACAATCTGGAGCGGGGACTGAGGTCAGCCCCGGGTCTCCCAGATGGGGTCGGAGCAGATGGGGTCGGAGGGTCGTGCCGCATCGCTGATGCATCGGCGATGCGTTTCGATGCGAAGCCCGAATTTCTCAACGTCCGTCGTCGCCGATGCGTCGCCGACGTCGGCGCTGCGGCGCGATCCTTCGACCCCACCTTCTCGGACCCCATCAAAGAGGCCTCTACGTTTAAGTCGGGCCTGTATTCAAAAATAGTCGAAAAAGAGTCTGGGGGCCATGTTTTGACTATTGTTGGCATTGTTTGCATAAGGTATTCAGTATTTGTCATCAGAAATGCGCCTGTAGAGGGACATTCCCGACCTACTCATAGCTCGATGTGTCAGCCCAATGTTGGGGCCGGCGGGGGGTCGGAGGTGGTCCAGCAGTGGTTCCGGCCAGCAGGAGGGGCGGGCGGGTTCGAGGTCCTGAGCTCAGGGAGGTGTATCGCTTTTACTCGGCCCCAGGGCCGTGCACAGCAGATCCCGGGTGCAAAACTGCACCAGCGGGACCCGCGGAGGGGAGCGGAGACCGATATTGGGCGGATTTGCCCTGGAGCCCCCCTTCTTGCCCGAGTTTCTTGGGGCCCATTCGGTTCAGATCCCCCAGCAACCTCCAAGCCCAATGTGCGTTTACCCAATGCGTGTTTGCCCCGTTCAGCTCCGCCGAAAGCACGCAGCCTGCGCCAGCCCTCGGTATACACCGCCTGCGTCGCATGGGGGGGCTTCGGTGGATCAGCACGCGCTGGCGCTAGCACATGTTCTGATGATCATCGAGTAGGGGTCGAGGCCCTGAGAGCCAGCATCTCAAAATGATCGCAGCGTGCGTGGAGGGGGCTTGCAAGAACAGCAGAAGGAGGAGCAGGAGGAGGAGGAGGAGGAGGAGGAGGAGGAGGGGGAGGAGGAGGAGCGGGGTCTGGCAGCGTTTAGTACCGAACCCCGATGCCACCAGCTCAAGCTCGGACACGAGCGGGAGGAGGAGGAGGAGGGGGAGAAGGAGGAGGACTCATCATCCTCTTCCTCCGCCTTCCCTCAGTCTGGGCTGTTCCTGTTGGGGGGGCTCATCGCCAGGCTGGATCCGCTCCGCAGTTCTGGTCAGCACTCACCAGAGGAGGAGGAAGAAGAGGAGGCTCGCACGTGGAAATCGTGTTAGCATTCGTTGCACTGCAGCGACCACGTGAGAGGCCTCCAGCAAGCTCTGAAGACCTCCGGATACCGCAGGGTGGACTCCTGAGACTGCAGAGGAGGAGGAGGAGAAGGAGGAGGAGAAGGATATCGAGCTGAGGAGAAGGACGAGGAGAAGGAGGAGGAGGAGGAGGAGGAGGAGGATATCGAAGAGGAGGAGGACGAGGAGGAGGAAAAGGAGAAGAAAAAGGAGAAGGAGGAAGAGTAGGGGATGAAGGAGGAGGAGGAGGAGGAGGAGGAGGAGGAGGAGGGGGTGGAGGAGGAGGGAGGGAGGGGCCGGGTTAGGACGGGATGAGTGGGCAGGAGGCGGGGAGAGGGAGGGACGGATGGGGGGTGGAGGGAGTGGCGGGTTACGAGGAGGTGGGAGGAGGAGGAGGAGGACGACGAGGAGGAGGAGGAGGAGGAGGGGGAGGAGGACGAGGAGGACGAGGAGGACGAGGAGGAGGAGAAAAAGGAAAAGGGAGAAGAGGGGCAGGGAGGGGATGGAGAAGACAGGCGTATAGGAGGGGGGAGGGGGCGGGAGACCCCGCGGAGCACTCACTGGAGCGCTCGGTCCAATATTCGCATAGGTTGCTCCACTCTTTTGCGGGCAGTGGGCCCGCGGAGGACTTCCAGAGGCCCTGGTCCCGCAAATCCGCCAGAAGGTCTGGGTCGATTCGGTCCCGATTGCTTGGTCGTGATCGACGAGGAGATGGATTTCGCCCCCTCCCCCCCGAGGAGGAGAGGGGAAGGAGCGGGATAGGGAAGAAGAACCGTTTTGATATCAATACAGCCCCCAATGCACACCCCTGGAACCACATACACGCTCCGAGTCTTTCGACTCTGATGACGTTGGAGTTTGGTGGCGAACGCTGCCATGGTCCATCCAGCTCCACTTCTCCTCATCCTCCTTCTCCTCCTGCTCCGCCTCCTCCTCCTCCTCCTCCTCGCGGCGGAGGAGGCATGGTTTAAGTGGCGTCGTTTGACTGCCCTTCGAGCCCGAGGCGAGATGCTGGAGGCCGAGAAGATTGAACAACTCAGACGTGTTTTTGCTGAGACTCTGGTGCTCTGCCTTGCCCCTCCCCCGCCCGGCCCTCCCGCGGCCAGTTCGCGATCCACGAGAACGTGAAGTTCGGCCAGCAGGACGCCATGGGCTACCAGACGATGTTGCGGAACAGCGTGTTCGGGCTCGTGCCCCGGGGCGACGAGCACTTCACCTTCCGGCTCACGGAGGTCACGGGGGAGAGGGGGAGGGGGGGGCAATATCGAGATGAGGAGGGGAGACGAAAGGCCCAGTGCGCAAGGTGGCTATGCGCATCTATGTTGTGTTGCTGTTCCTCTCTCACTATTTCTCTGTGTCATTCTCTCTCTCTCTCTCTCTCTCTTTTTTCTCTCTCTCCCTCTCTCTTTCTCTCTCTCTCTCTCTCTCTCCCTATATATATATATATATATATATACTATATATATATATATATGTGTGTGTGTGTGTTTATTCCCCTCTCGTTCTCTCCATCTCCTCTCCTCTCCTCCTTGTCCAGCCCAGCCTTGAATCCTGTAGCTTCGGGCATATAGCTCGCCCTCCGACTCGTCCTGCTGCCGCTGTCAGCAGGAGGAGCAGGAGGAGGATCGAGGTTTCCGAGCGCTCCTGGGCTTCAGAAGCCTGGCCCCAGGGGAATCACACAGACTTCTGGTAGGGGGGAGAACGGGGAGGAGGAGAAGGAAGCTATGAGTGTCTCCTCGCCGTATCCTCGCTCCTACCTGCTCCTCCCTTGTTCTGGTAGTCTCGGACACTTTTGTTCTGTCGGTCCCATTCGCTCGGCTTTACTCTGGGTCCTTGGTCTGCCTGCCGCTTCGATGTTGGGACCCCCTCGGGCCCTTTTGTCGCTTCGCGGCCTTTTGAGGGGGTCAGGGCGTAACGCTAACCGACGTCAAAAGAAACGCTGGCCGGGGCTGAGGGGGCCTGCAGCGTGCGAGGGCGCCAGGGCCTGTTCCGAGAGAGCCGTCCGCAGCCTCGAGCTCCAAGGAGGAAGAGGAGGAGGAGGACGACGACGAGAAGGAGGAGGAGGAGGAGGAGGAGGAGGACGAGAGGAGGAGGAGGACGACGACGAAAAGGAGGAGGAGGAGGAGGAGGAGCAGGAGGAGGAGCAGGAGGAGCAGGAGGGTCGAGGATCGAGGCCTCTGGACCTGCCGCCAGAGCCGCCCGCAGCGTCGAGCTCCGAGAGGGATCCAGGTCTCCGGGCGTGCTCTGGGCCTGCCTAGAGGGGGGCTTCCTCCTCCACGCGGGCGGAGACCGCTCGGGCGAGGCCGCCCGGGGCGCCTCCGACACCGCGAGCCCTCGCAGCGCGGGCCGCGGGCCTCTCTCGGGATCCCCCCCCGGGGGGCCAGCGGAGCCTCGAGGCAGGAGCTCCCGCCAAGCCTGCGGGCGAGCGAGGGGGGGAGCAGGAGGAGGAGGAGGAGGAGGAGGAGGAGTTGGGGGGGGAGGCGATGGGTCGAGATCACAACCGGTCGGGTGAGACCACAACCGGACGGGCGAGATCCCAACCGTCCAAAGCCCAAGGCACGGTCAGATCCATCCCGAGGAGGAAGTTGATAAAGAAAACCGTTGAAAACCATTACCTTTGCTGTTTATTGTGAAACCTCATTGGAAACCGTAGAGGGGCGAACTCAGGCGTGAGCTGGTTGGGAACTCGCCCGTCTATTACTGGATCGCAGTGGCGATAGTGACAGTAGTAATAGAAGTAATAGTCGTAGTAGTAGTAGTAGTAGTAGTAGTAGTAGTAGTAGTAGTAGTAGTAGTAGTAGTAGTAGTAGTAGTAGTAGTAGTAGTAGTAGTAGTAGTAGTAGTAGTAGTAGTAGTAGTAGTAGTAGTAGTAGTAGTAGTAGTAGTAGTAGTAGTAGTAGTAGTAGTAGTAGTAGTAGTAGTAGTAGTAGTAGTAGTAGTAGTAGTAGTAGTAGTAGTCGTAGTAGTCTAGTCGTAGTCGTAGTCGTAGTCGTAGTCGTAGTAGTAGTAGTACTACTACTACTACTACTACTACTACTACTATACTACCTACTACTACTAGAAGTACTAGTAGTAGTAGTCGTCGTCGTAGTAGTAGTAGTACTACTACTACTACTTCTAGTAGTACTAGAAGTACTAGTAGTAGTCGTCGTATCAGTAGTAGTAGTCGTAGTAGTAGTGAAGTAGTAGTAGAAGTAATAATAATATTAGTAATAACCGTAGTAATGGTAACCGTCGTCGTTGTCGTAGTCAAAAATTTGTCGTCGTCGTACGACTACGACTACGACTACGACTATGACTACGACTACTACGACTGTTTCTCATAGTAGTAGTAGTAGTAGTAGTAGTAGTAGTAGTAGTAGTAGTAGTAGTAGTAGTAGTAGTAGTAGTAGGTGTTGTTTTAGTAGTCGTCGTCGTCGCAGTGATAAGGGATCATGAAGATTCTTCAGGGGTCTCTATGGAACCCTTTGGGTTCCCGAGCACTCCCACACATATTCTCATGGGTTCAGAAGTTACCAGAATCTCTCAGAATCTTTCAGAATCTTTCAGGATCTCTGAGAAGCTGTCAGAATCTTCCAGAATCTCTCGGGATCACTCAGGTGCTCTCACAATCTTCCATAAACTGTCAGAATCTTTCAGAATCTTCCAGCATCTCTCAGGAGCTCCCAGAAGCGCTCAGAAGCTCTCAGAATCTCTTCTTTTAGAATATTTCAGGATCTGTCAGAATCTTTCAGAATCCTTCAGCATCTTTCAGAACCTTTCACTCTCATAATCTTTCAGAATCTTCCAGGATCCATCAGAATCTCTCAGCATCTTTCAGAAGCTCTCAGACCAGAATCTGTCAGAAACTTTTAGAATTTCCCAATTTTTTCATAATAGCTCGGCATCGCGAAGAAACGCACAGATGCCGGAGCGATTCCCCTGGAGCGGTTGGGATCTCACCCGTTCCAGCTGTGCTTGGCGGTTGTGATCTGACCCGTTCCATTGGGATCTCACCCGACCCGTTGTGATCTGACATTCCCAGAGGGGGACGGGGAGGGAGAAGAGGACGAGGGGGAGGAGGAGGAGGAGAGGGATGAGGAGGCTGCTTGTCGTCCCTTCCTCTTCCCCTTGTCTCTTGTTTTTGTTTTGTTTGCGGCCGGGCCGATGTATAATATCCAGGTCGGTATGGCAAAGGTCCATCGTATTTGTTGGATTTGTTTGTGCATCCCCTGGGGGATGCCATCGAATTTCTGTTTCGTTTTAGCCAGCGGAGGGTCTCATGTTCTTGAGGATGCGCCTCTGTCCGAGGTCAGGCGGTGCCCCTCGAAAAGGAAAAGCTGCATAAGCATACACGGTTGGCGCTCCGCACAGATTTCTTGGATCCGCGCTGGCCCCCCCCCCAGCGGGGGACCACGTGCTGATCCAAGAATCTGCGCGGAGCGCCACAAGTTTATGTTTAAGCAAATGTTGTTTCTTCAAGCCCCTCCCACCGACCGGCGGGAGGGGTTCGAGGGCTTCGGCCGATCGAGGCGACACAGCCCGCAGCCTCGAGTGTGGTGTGGACACCTGGACTCTGCCCTCGTGGACCGAGCGACCCACCCACCCACCGACCGAGGAGGAGGAGGAGGAGGAGGAGGAGAAGGGAGGAGGAGAAGGAGAGGGAGGAGGAAGCGGGAGGAGGAGGAGGAGGAGGAGGAGGAGGAGAGGAGGAGGAGGAGGGAGGAGGAGGAGGAGAGGGAGGAAGGAGGAGGAGGAGGAGGAGGAGGAGGAGGAGGAGGAGGAGGAGGAGGAGGGAGGAGGAGGAGGAAGAGGAGGAGGAGGAGGAGGAGGAGGAGGAGGAGGAGGAGGAGGGAGGAGGAGGAGGAGGAGGAGGAGGAGGAGGGAGGAGGAGGAGGAGGAGGAGGAGGAGGAGGAGGGGAAGCGGGAGGAGGAGGAGGAAGAGAGGAGGAGGAGGAGGAGGGGAAGGAGGAGGAGGAGAGGAGGAACTAACGCCAGAGTTTCTTGTTCAGGTTGGTCTAAACGCAAAAAGGGAGGAGGAGGAGGAGGAGGAGGAGGAGGGGAGGGGAAGAAGGAACAAGCGCCACAGCGTCTTGCTCAAGTTGGTATAACGCAGAAGGAGGATGACGAGGAGGAGGAGGAGGAGGAGGAGGAGGAGGAGGAGGAGGAGTAGGAGGAGGAGGAGGAGGAGGATGTGGAGGAGGAGGAGGAGGAGGAGGAGGAGGAGGAGGAGGAAGAGGAGGATGAGAAGGGAGCAGAAGGAGGAGGAGGAGGGAGCAGAAGGAGGAGGAGGAGGAGGAGGAGGAGGAGGAGGAGGGAGCAGGAGGAGGAGGAGAAGCAGACTCACGGGTGGGGGGGGGAGGCGGAGTGTCAGAGGGAACGGCTCGCGGCCCCGCCCAGGCAGCCGTGTCCTGCGAGGGCCCCGGGACCCCGCCCCGGCACTGATGGGTGCCACGGCAGCAATCGGAGCTCAAGAGACGGGGGTCATTGCAAACAGAGGTCAGCCAGAGCGCCAGGTCCTGCAGGAGATTGCAAGATCTTGCAGGATTGTGCAAGGCCTGACTGACCCAGGTCTAGATTGACCCGGGTCAGGAGATCCTCGAGACAAGCTGGAGATGGGCGCGGCGGAGGGGAGGAAAGGCGAGGAGGGCGGAGGAGAGTGGACGAGGGCGGAGCGGGCGGGGGGCGAGGACGGAGGATCCTTTCCTTCCCGCCCCTCCGCTATCCTTGGATGCCCTCCCTTCTGCCCCCGCCCCTGCCCGGCCCCTGCTTCTGGCTCCTGCAGCCTGCCTCCTCGCCCCCGCCCTCTCCCCCTTGCCAGCGCATCCTCCCTCCTGCGCTTCGGCACTTCAGCACACCTGCCCCCCTTGCTGTCCCCTTGGCAGGAGAGCCCCCAGGCATTCGGCGTCATGACCTGCTCGTGGCACGGGCCCCCAGACCTCTCGGCCTCATCCCGCGGGACGGGGTGCCGGTCCTGGGTGGTTCCCTTGGAGGCGCACTTCCTCCAGGTTAACGCCCCCTGCGTCCCCGCCCCCTCTCGGAAAGCTCGTCGGCATCTGGAGGTATCTGGGGTCTTTGGAGCGCCAACCAGATACCCCGGCGAAGGACCCAGGCATATGCAGTTGTACGCCAGTGCCTTCGTTGTGCGTGCCGCCTTCGGCGCCAGGCGAATCCCGGCACGTGGGCCTTAGTTGGGGCGCCCCAATGAGGCCACGAAGCGTGTGAGGTGTGTGCCGAAATGGGGCACCGACGCCATGCGAACCCTGGCATTTGGGCCTCAGCTGGGGCTCCCCAATGAGGCCACGAAGCGTGTGAGGGTTGTGCCGACACGAAGCACCGACGCCATGCGCACCGTGGCATGCGGGTTCCAGCTGGAGCTCCCTATGGGGCCACGAAGCGTGTGAGGGTTGTGCCGAGATGAAGCACCGACGCCATGCGAACCTGGGCATGTGGACCTTAGCTGGAGCTCCTGATGGGGCCACGAAGCGTGCGAGGGGTGTGCGACATGAGACGCTATGCGAACCCTGGCAAATTGGGCCTTGTCTGGAGCCCCCCGTGAGACCACGAAGCGTGTGAGGGGTGTGCCGAAGTGGACGCGCGGAGGGCAGATGCGGGGAGGTAAGGAGGGAGGACGGGGAGGAGAAGAGGAGGAGGAAGTAAGGAGACGCGGGGCACCGTTTCATCAAGACGAGCACCCACCAACACCACAGGATGGCTGGGAGAAAGAAACGTCCACTGCGATCTTCCACCCTCTCCCCTCCTCCTGGCGAGGTGCTGACCCGACTTGTTTGGCTGATGCTCTGGGGGGGGCCTGTACTCAGGGGAGGCTGCAGCACCGCTCAACGATGTGCTGTCATCCAAACCTGCAGGGTGGGCCCTCTCCGTGCCTCTGTGCACTTCAGCTTCGGCTTCGGCTTCAGCCTCCGATGCACCGTGAAGCGCCTTTGGGCCAGCTCGCCCAAGTCGGATTTTCCGCTCGCACGGGTGCTCCCCTCCCCCGTCCCCGTCTGGCGAGGTGCTGGCAGCCGGCGGGGTACCGGTGCTGATGGACGACGACTTCTACGCCCCGTTCGCCAGGGACGACCTGGCGGAGTGGGCAGTGGCTCGCCGCCGCCCCTCTCGGGGGGTGGGCGTTCGGGTCGGGGGCGCAGCATCTCGGCAGGGGAAGAACACGAAGACACAACTGAGACCTCCGACCACCAGGAGACTTGGCATCGCTCGGACGTGTGCGTTTTTCCTTCGGCGAGGGCCAGCGAGGAGCAGCCTTGATCCTTCGGCGGAGAAGCCACGCACGAAACCGAACAAAACACGGGGAACGGACGTCCGAGCGATGCCCAGGAGGAGAGGGGAAGGTGCAGGAGGGGGGGGGGGACGAAAGCCCCGAAAATCTGCGAACGCGTGGGGGATCCTGGGACTCGTGTCCATCTCCTTGCAGGAAGGGAAAAAACACACAGACACAATGGATCGTCGATCCCCAAGAATATATATATATATATATATATATATAGGAAAACATGGGAATTGGGCGGGAAGACGAAAGCCCGGAAAATATAGGAAAATATGGGGAATATTTTTATCTGTGTGTGTTTATTTCTGTGTCCTGGGGCCCCTGCATCCTCGTGTGTCCCAGGGCCCCCTTTCGAATCGGCAGGGCGGCGGCGACGAGCACGGCGTCGTTCGGGCTGGCAGCCCCGGGGTCGAGGTTCCCAGGATCGAGGGGCAAGGCTGGAGTCGGGCCTGCCCCTCTACAGGACGAGTATTCAAGAACTGACGAAGAAATAGTCCGAGGGAGATTTGTCTGGCATGTTTTGAGCATGTTTGGCATCTGTTTGGGGCATTTTTTCAGTCTTCGCCCAACATCACCCTGTAGGGGGACAGGCCCGACCCAAGGCCAGGCCTCTGGGCATGTTGTGACGCACGTCGGGCTTCTGGGCGCCTCGGGAGGCCTCCGGGGACTTCCAGGGAGATGTTCCAGGAATTCCGGTGGTGTGGGGCGGCGGCGACGGCGTCATCGCCGACGAGGTGGTCGTGAGAGGGCTAGTTCCAGTGGGGACCCGTGCCAAAAAGCACCCTGCTTGCCTCCAGGGTGCCCTGCGTTTCTTGGGCTTTGAATTTTTCCGATGGAAAGAGTGACGCTCCCACATCAAGAGGCAATGGACGACCTGGGGTCTTAGGGTTGGGTTTCTTGGAGCTCTCTTAAGGATCCTTTTCAGCCGTCTCGGGGGAGTCTTGGGCGCCTCTCAGGCCGTCTTGAAGAATCGGAAGCTCCAAAAGGCGCGAACCCAAAAAGCATTGACACAGCGAAGACCAAATCAATGGTCTATTCCATCTGGGCCTCTTTTAGTTCTTTTGGGGCTTCCTGACTCCTGAGTTTTCGAAGGGCGGAGGGCTCGAATTGTCCGTTCGTGTTCGCCCTCTTGGGCCCTTCTTGCGGCCCTCTTGGGGCCCTCTTGGGCATCCTGGGGCGCCTCGTGAGACGCCTTGGAGCACTGTTGGGCCGTCTTGGGAGCCTCTTGGGCCGTCTTGGGGCAGTCCTGGTGGCCGCTTGGGCCGTTTTGGCGTGGCTTCTCGAGCTCCTCTAGGGAAGGTTATGGAGGCTCTCTTGGGACGCCTCGACGGCCTCGTGGGCCGTCTTGAATTCGTCTTGAGGCCAACGTGGTCCGTCTTGGAGCCATACTGGACCGCCTTGGAGACATCTGTGCCACGGGAGCGCGCATGTGTTGCATTGTGCGGGGGGGGGGGGCTCGGGAAGAGGGGGGCGATGCACGCGGGTGGGTGCTTCGAGAGGAGGGGGGTGGGGGGCTTGGAAAATGCAAGAAACCCGACCAGAGACTTTGGCATTCTGCCACGCCTCGACGTGCACACAGCAGGGTGGCGGATTTCGTGAAGCGCCTTTGGAGTGGATTGTTTTTACCTAACAGCTTTTGCTGATAGGTTTCTAGTGGTGTCAAAAGAGAGCAGCAGATGACTCCACAGGGGGGTCGGGGCGGGACCCGGGGAGCTGTGTCCGAACTCGTGTCCGAATGCGTTTTTCGCAAACAGTCACACACTTCGTGCTCTTCGACCTCCCAGAACTCCATTCCCGGGCCACATTCTGAATGCCTGGAGCCAACTGTAGGCCACTTCGTGCTCTTCGACTTCCCAGAACTCCATTCCCGGCACATTTTGGATGCCCGGAGCCAACTGTAGGCCACTTCGTGGTCTTGAAGTTCCCAGAACTCCGTTCCCGGCACATTTTGAATGCCCGGAGCCAACTGTAGGCCACTTCGTGGTCTTCGAGTTCCCAGAACTCCGTTCCCGGGCCACATTTTGAATGCCCGGAGCCAACTGTAGGCCACTTCGTGGTCTTCGAGTTCCCAGAACTCCATTCCTGGGCATGATTTTGAATGCCCGGAGCCAACTGTAGGCCACTTCGTGTTCTTCGAGTTCCCAGAACTCCATTCCCGGGCCACATTTTGAATGCTGAGGCAGGCTGATGCTGAGGCTGAGGCAGGCTGAGGCTGAGGCAGGCTGAGGCTGAGGCCGAGGCTGAAGGCAGACTGAGGCTGAGGCTGAAGCAGGCTGAGGCTGAGGCTGAGGCAGGCTGAGGCAGGCTGAGGCTGAGGCTGAGGCAGGCTGATGCTGAGGCAGGCTGAGGCTGAGGCTGAGGCTGATGCAGGCTGAGGCTGAGGCAGGCTGAGGCTGAGGCCGAGGCTGAAGGCAGACTGAGGCTGAGGCTGAAGCAGGCTGAGGCTGAGGCTGAGGCAGGCTGAGGCTGAGGCTGAGGCAGGCTGATGCTGAGGCAGGCTGAGGCTGAGGCTGAGGCTGATGCAGGCTGAGGCTGAGGCAGGCTGAGGCTGAGGCCGAGGCTGAAGGCAGACTGAGGCTGAGGCTGAAGCAGGCTGAGGCTGAGGCTGAGGCAGGCTGAGGCTGAGGCTGAGGCAGGCTGATGCTGAGGCAGGCTGAGGCTGAGGCTGAGGCTGAGGCTGATGCAGGCTGAGGCTGAGGCAGGCTGAGGCTGAGGCCGAGGCTGAAGGCTGAGAGGCTGAGGCTGAGGCTGAGGCTGAGGCTGAGGCTGAGGCTGAGGCTGAGGCAGGCTGATGCTGAGGCAGGCTGAGGCTGAGGCTGAGGCTGAGGCTGGCTGAGGCTGAGGCTGAGGCTGAGGCTGAGGCTGAGGCTGAGGCTGAAGGCAGCTGAGGCTGAGGCCGAGGCTGAAGGCAGACTGAGGCTGAGGCTGAAGGCTGAGGCTGAGGCTGAGGCTGAGGCAGAGGCTGAGGCTGAGGCTGAGGCAGGTCTGAGGCTGAGGCAGGCTGAGGCTGAGGCTGAGGCTGAGGCTGAGGCTGAGGCTGAAGGCAGACTGATGCTGAGGCAGGCTGAGGCTGAGGCCGAGGCCGACGGCAGACTGAAGCTGAGGCTGAAGCAGGCTGAGGCTCAGGCAGAGGCTGGCTGAGGCTGAGGCTGAGGCAGGCTGATGCTGAGGCAAGCTGAGGCTGAGGCTGAGGCTGAAGCCGAGGCCGACGGCAGACTGAAGCTGAGGCCGAGGCTGAAGGCAGACTGATGCTGAGGCTGAAGCAGGCTGAGGCTGAGGCTGAGGCAGGCTGAGGCTGAGGCAGGCTGAGGCTGAGGCTGAGGCAGGCTGAGGCTGAGGCTGTGACTGCGACTGCCGTTGCCACTGCGACTGTCATCGCGAATGCGACTACGACTGCGAGAACAGCAGAATTCTACAACTGGATTCTCATCTGAATCTTAAGGGGAATGCTTCCAGATATGCTCCTACACATCGCTGTTAGGTTGCTTTGCCGGGATAATTATGAGTCAGCACTAGCTTTCTGTAAGCATGGGCTGCGGGCCGTAGCGGGCAACACGGTGGCAGGTTTCTGAAGAATGGCCGTTTCGCTCGGAACATCCTCAACAAATCGGTTCCGGAGGGGGCTCCGAATCAACATTGTCCTGGAATCGCTCTTGGAGTGACCCACCGTGGCCCAAAAGAGCCCAAAAGGCCCCTCAGAGAACCTAAAGAGGGCCCCAAGATGCCCCCGAGAGAGCCCCAGGAGGCCCCAGACGACTCAAGACAGCCCAAGATGGCGCCAAGACGGCTTGTGAAAGCCCCCACAGAACATTACGACACGCCCAGACTGCCCAAGAAGACCCCAGGAGCCCCCAAGAGGACCCCGACAGGCCACCAAGAGGCCCCAAGGATGCCCCAAGATAGCTCAAGATGGCCCCAACAGCCCCCAGGGTAGCCTCAAAAGATCACGAGGACCCCCCTTCTTCAACGTCATTTTCGTCGGGCCATTTTCGTCGGGCCCCTTACCGTCCTCCTTCGTCGTCGTCCTTCTTCTTCTCCTTCTCCTCATCCTCCTCCTCATCCTCGTCATCCGCCGCCTTGCCGTCGCCATCATCCTTACGAGCCCAATCGACAACATCGACGCTTCCCGCTCTTGTCTGATCAGGTTTGTGCGTGGTTGCACGTTGTTTCCCGTGTTCTGAGCAGGAATCAGAATAGTCACATGTAGAAGTACGAGAACGAACTGTCATCGAGCATCGCCCCCACAATTATTCCAACAAGTCGAAGAACTCTCGCCCTGGACGATGATGGTATCAGCGTGGCAGTCAGAGGATGTATGCTGCTCTCGTGTTGATCCATTAGCGGCGCGTCACACTACGCCCGCTTGTCTCGAGCAGATCCCCAGAGATATAGGGGAAAACATGCGCACGGCTCCCTAGCCGCTGTGGCTCAAGCAGCAGTGCTCGAGTAACAGACCTATGGTACTATCCGAGCTCAGGTGGCCATGGCGAGTGGGGCCACGATCGGAAAGATGAATTCTCCCATCACCACGCTGATGCTCCGCAATTTGCCCCGAAGGTACACCCAGGAGCAGCTCCTGAGGGAGATCCAGGACGTGGTGGGCACCACGGTCGACTACAATTTGTTGTACGTGCCCTGGGATTCGCGTGACAATTGCAACGTCGGCTATGCGTTCTTGAACTGCTGCGACGCGGAGGGGGCGGAACGGTGTCGCATGATCTTCAACGGATACTATTTCTGCAGGTCGGCGAAGCAGAAGCAGTGCAGCGTGTTCACTGCCCACATACAGGGACTGGAGAGCAATTTGATCCACCTTCTCACGACATCCATGGGTGTGCTCGCCACAGGGGGCCAGCCCGACAAGAACATGCCAGTCATCATCTGGCAGGGGCAGAGGGTCAGGTGAGCGACGGAAGAAAACGGGGGCGACTGCGCCGACATTGGCGCGTAAGCTGCCCGCGTAAGGTCGCGCGTAAGCGCCCTCGTTTCCAGTGCAGCGTGCCGCGCTGGCACACTGCGCATGCCACCGCGCAAGGTGGCTATGCCATCCCGCGTAAGACCCCCATAGCTCCGATGCTTTGATGTGTTCCATACGGGGCCCCCGGAAGCTGACCCACTCCCCGGGGGCGGCTTTTCATCCTGCGTCGTTGCTTGACGGGCCCCTGGGCCCGGCAAGGGCTTCAAGAGGCCGAGAAATCGCGAACCAATCCGCTTTTTAAAACAACTATTTAGATACCCTGAGATCCAACGTAGCGAAAAGATTGCAACATCGTTAAAATCCACGCCCGTTGCCCTAGACCCATCCTTCTGCGCCACTTTTCGGGCCAAGTCGATCTGTGAGGGCCACAGGGCCCGAAACAAGGCGAGACCTCCCGGCTCGAAGGCCTCGGAGGGCACTTGAAACCGTCTTGGGGCCGCCTTGAGGCCTCTTGGACGTCTGTCGGAGGCTATCTTGACCCATCTACCGCTATTTTGGGCCATCTTGGAGGCCATCTTGCGCTCTCTGAGGCCCTCATTAAGCCATCTTGGACCAAAAAGGACCCTCTGCCACATCGCGGGGGAGCCCGTCCAGACGCAGGGAGGGGGGGAGGTAAACCTCCCGAGCAGGGAAAGGAAGGAGGTTGGCAAGGAAACGCCCTGGACCACCTGCGCCCAGAGGTCTGGTGGGATTGAGTCGCCAGGATATCAGGGTATCCGGGCCCGTTTCTTTTCGTCGCTCAGGTTTCAGAAAGTCGTCGCCGCCCTCCAGCGCGCCGACGCGCCCGTGGGGCACAGGCCGCTGGCCCAGCCCTGCGGCAGCGCGGGCCCGCTCTTCTGGTCCGACACGGCCCTGCCGCAGGAGCGCGCGCCCTGGCCCGAGGCCACGACTACGTCGGGCCTGTCCTCCTACAGGAGGAGTATGCAAAATGGTCCAAAAATAGTTTGGGGACGATTTTTGAAGCTAGTTTTGAGCATTTTCGGTATATTTTTTTCTTGTATTTTCAACTTTTCGCCCAAAGTCCCCTGTAGGGGGACAGGCCCGACCTGAGGCCACGACGGCTCGCAGGCTGTTCGCGTCAAACGAGGGCACGACGGCGCCCTGGCCGCCAGCGCCGGCGCCGGAGAAGAGTGCCGCGGAGGGGAAGTGGGAGTCCGCCGCGAGCACGACGACGCCGGGGTGCTCCGGAAGACAAGTACACGCCGGTCGTTGAAAGTAGGTATTTGTAAATTCCCAGATCCCAATCTACTTCAAGCGCCTTCCTACTTCAAGAATCGACACGTTTTTTTCTGTGGTTTGTTATTCTCCGGGAGGTCCTGGACCCAATCCACTTTATCCGCCTTCCTACTTCATATGTTTACCTACTTCTTCCGACCGACGTGTATGGGGTTGTGGGGATGGGGTTGAGAGACACGAGGATATCTTTATGCCCGTAGACGGCCGTTCATTGCATCCAGATGCCGTTGCTCATGCCCTCTATCCTCCCAACCCCTTCCTCTCGGCGGCGGCGATAGGGGCGATTAGCCCAGGGGGCGGGCATTACAAGCATTCGCCCGGGAGCCTTTCCGAAGACGGAAATCATCGGCGCTCTTGAATACATGTATTGTTCCCCCCTGGGCTATTCGCCCCTATCGTCGCCTCTGATCCACCCCACACGAGAATTGTTCTCCCCAGGTTCGTGTCAGAAGCTTCCACGCAGGGGCTTTGGTCTCACGCCAGCTTCCCGCGCTGCGGCCGCTACCGTGAGGGAGACGTCGGCGAGGCGGGCCTGCCACAACGGGGGGGGGCACCCTCCCCGCACCCCATCGGGGAGCCCCTGACACTCCTCCCCAGAGATCGTCGAGACGATGGGTACCCTTCCCAGAGATCCAACGCATTGGAAAAATCGTCGATCCCATCTCGAGATTACCCCCCTCCTTGGCATCGCTCGGAAATGTGCATGTCCTCGGCGAGGACCATCGAACAGCACCCTGTATCATCGAGCCCCCCCAAAAAAGCACGCACGCAATCGAAACATGCACGGGGAGTGGACGGCCAAGCGATGGCAAGCCCCTGTGGGCCTCCATAGAGGCCCTCGCCAGGCCCTGGGACAGTCAAAAAACGACTCGGGATGAATAGCCGGTCCTGGGGAATGGAGACCTCTGGGGAATCCCGAACGGCAGGATCGCGTCGTGTCCACTCGCCGCGAACCCGCCACGAGCGTTCAAGGTTGAACGCCGCCCGTGGCCCAGACTCGGCCGATCGTTGAACGATCGGACGTATCGAAAACGGCCGATCGTCCATGGTTGAACGATCCCCGCGGTGTCAGGCACCAACGCCTGGGTCGACACGACGCGAACCTGTCGCATTTAAAACATCAAGACATCGGATCTGTGGGTCAGGAGGGTCAGGGAGGAGGAGGAGGAGGAGGAGGAGGAGGAGGAGGAGGAGGAGAAGGAGTCAGGAGTACAGCTCCCCCGATCCGCGGATGGTCAGCAATGACGGCCACTTCAGCCTCATGCTGGCAGAGGACGCGCTCGTCCAGCGCATCGGGGCCGCCATGGCGGAGCGGCGCCTCGCGCTGCCTCACGCGTCTGAGGCCAGGGCAGCCCTGCTGGAGAGGCGCGTCGCCGCTGCCTCCTCGCCGTTGCTCCCCGCTTCTTCCGGCGCGCCTCCTGCAGCCGCTCCGCCGCAGGATTCGGGGGCGAAAAAGAGGGAGGTGATGACTGGGGGGGGGGGGGGGGGAGATCATGGCGGGGGGCATGCTAATTCCCCAGATTTCATGGCGCCTCTTTTTACTTCATTGCGCCCCTGGCTCCCAGCCTGGGCCGCGCACGTGCCGCCGGCCACGATGTGCACCCCCCCCCCTCTTGGACACCCCCCCCTTGGCCGCTCCGCCGCAGGATCCGCGGGCCCCCCCGCACGTGCCGGAGCCGCCCCCGGAGGCCCGCCCCACCTCCGGGCAGCCCCAGGCAGGCCTGCGGCGCTCGCCCGGCCTCGAGCGCGGCGCCCCCGCGAGGCCCGCGGGCGGAGCGGTCGAGGGCGAGGCCGGCGGGGAGCAGCGAGGAACAAGAGGCGGCGCGAGCAGGAGCCTTCGGCGGTCCGCGCGGACCTCTCGGCATCCGCGCTCGAAGTCCCCCTCGTGCGGCGCCGCGGGCGCCGGCCCCGCGGGCGCGCTCCGCGCGCCGGGGAGTCGGCTGGACGTGGAGGTGACCTTTCGCCGGAGTGACCTTTGGAACGGGCACACCGGGGCCCCCCAGTAGGGAGCCCCAGGCTCCTGGACAGATGTTGGAGCCCCGGCCGGGAGCCTCCTTCCTCTTCGTGCCGGTGCTCTTCCTCTTCCTCCTCCCCCTCCTCTTCCTTCCCGCCTCCTCCCCCCCGCCATCGTCCTTCCCCCCTCTCGCCTCCCTCCTCTCTCCGGCCGTCCTCCTCCCGCGCCCGGATAGCCGAACGCGGTGCGGTAGTAGCGTCTTGCGCGCTTGTGTGTTGGCCCCCCGCGACACCCAAGAGGCCGCGCACCAAAGGTCACTCTCACCCAGGGGTCACTCCTGCGCGCAGTCGAGGGAGGAGGTTCTGGCGCGGATCCAAGAGATCTGTGCGGACCGTCGAAAGTTTATGTTTGTGCCGTTGCTTTGTTCCTCCAGATCAGGCGCGGCCGCCTACCGCAGCGGCGGATGGGACGAGAATTCTGGAGCTGGGGAATCACCTCAGCTCGCGGGTGTTCGAAAAGTTCTTCGAGAAGCACCCCAACGACCCAGGAGGATCGGGATCCCGCAAAGGGGTGTGTGCCCCGGGGGGGGTGCGAGTTCGATCGGTTTTTGCACCGAGCCGCCCAAATTTGATGCCCCCCAGCCGCTGGCAGCTCCCGATAATTGCCGATAGCTGGGGCATGCGGGGGGCATCTGTCTGCGGCGCTTCGGTGCATCAACGGATCGAACTCATGCCCCCCCTCAGGGTCACCCTCGCTTTGGTGGATCCCGAGAGGACGCCCTACCTGCCATGCTGGCAGCGGGGCTTCCGTGGGCCGCTCTGACGGTGCAGGTAGGCAAGTTGCCGACCAGGGTGCTGGCAGCCCGAATATTTTCAGTCTGTGACGAGGGAGCCCTCGCGGGCCAAGTCGATTCCCTCTTCATCCTCCAGCTCCGTTTGCTCATCCTCTTTCTCCTCCTGCTCCTTCTCCGCGACCATGCGTACTCCTCATCATAAGTGCAGGTACAAGTATATCCATATCTGCAGACATGTACAGACTGCTTACCGGACCCAGGCCGACAAGGAGGTTTGGGGAAGAACCAACGACGCAGCAACCATCGGTACAGACGTCCCCATCCATCGAGCAACCACTATCGGTTTCAGTGGGCAGATGCCTTCCTACCAGGTTCCCTATCGAATTCACTACGAATCTGATTGTAGCTATATTGGCATATCTCTATCTCGGTCTCACTATCGACCTCACCAGCTGATTATCAACCTCACCGTCTATCCACTTCACGGTCAGCAGATCGATCTCACTCATGGCTTATCGATCGACCTCACGATCGATCGGTCGATGACACGATGTGTCGATTTGACAAGTCAAATCCATTATGGATCGTTCTGTCGACCTCACTACCTCTCGATCGATCGCACAATCGATCTTTCGATCTCACGAAGTATCTATCCAGGCAGCAAGCACATATGTTGTTGCATTTGCGCTCTGATCTCGAGCCGACGAACTGAGCGTATTCCTTTTTGCCGACAGAATCGGCAAAACCATCGGACAATCATTAGGAGAACCGTCGAAACAACCATCGAGACAACCATCGGGACAACCAACAGGACACAATCGGGACAAACATTGGGGTAATCATCAGGGCAACCATCCGGACACAAATTCGGGACAAAAATCGGCATAACTTCCGGGAGAAATATGGGGACAAACATCGGGACAGCCACGGAACAGCCAACGGGAAAAGATTGGGACAACCAACGGGACAACCATCGGGACAACTATCGGGACAACCATCGGGACAACCATCAGGACGACCATCGGGACAACCGCCGGGACAGCCATCGAGACAACAATGAGACAGTTATCGGGGAAACAATCAGGACAACCGTCGGGACAACCAGCGGGACAGCCACAGGACAACCACGGGACAACCGTGGGACAACCGCGGGCCCTACTTTGTTAACCGGGTGGAGGAGGAACTCTTGCGTCGATGCTGCTGGAGCAGCGGCGGCATCCCTCCTGCCTCCTATACCCGCACGCGCAGCTTCGCCTCGCCCGCCCGGCAGCACGAACGAACACGAAGCCGAATCCGAGGCCCCAGCGGGGGGGGGTCCGGATCCGACTCACTTCGACCTCACCCCCTGACTCTCGATGTCAGAGTGTTGGGCCCCCCGCCCTTAGTCGGCCCCAGAAGCGGCAAGGCCGTTTTTTCACCGTTTCCGAAAAAGTGCCAGACGAAGCCAGGACGAGGATGAACATAGGAGGCCCCCTCAAGACGCCCAAGACTGCTTGTGAATATGTTTTGTCCATTTTCCCTGTTCTCTTCAAATCCGCTTGTAGGGGGACATGCCCGACCTAACCGAACATGCCCCAAGAAGCCCCTGGATCCCACAGAAATGCTTGCCAGAGGCTCCTGAGAAGCCTCCCAACAGACCCGAAGAAGCTTCTGAGTCCTCGCGCCCACATGCTAGACACATGTCGAGTTCTGGGGGCTCCGTATACTTCCATATTGCCTCAGTATGGGGATCTTGTTGCGAGTGTGACGGCTCCATCTCCCACCCTCTCCTTTTCTTTCCCCCCATCCTCCCACTCGCACTCAGACTCGTTCAAACTCAGACCCACTCAGGCTCACACTCACACTCAGACTCGCTTACATTCAGACTCGACACTCAGGCTAACTCAGACTCGGAGTCACCCATACCCCGATGGACTCAGGATCAGCTACACCAACACTCTGATTCACTTCTCGCGCTCACGTTTACGCACACGCAGACTCAAACACATTCATCGGAGGTTGGTGGACCTCCTACCCTGACACGTCGATTAAGGAATTGGCCGTTTTCGGTTCGCGAGAGGGCGTCGCGGCCGTCATTTTTGCGGGTCCAGGTCCGTCGGTTTCGGCCCCAGGCCGTTTTCACTAAGGGGAGGTTTGCGAAAGGGAGGGTTGCCCACCGCCGAGTTCAGGTCCACTCACACAGACCACTCACGATCAGGCTCGCCTCGCACTTAGCCTGCGAGGGTGGCTCAAAACCGAGGCGCTGGCTTCAGCACCCAAAGTGGGGGAGCCGGGGGGGGGCGGCGGCACGGCCCCGCTCGCGCCCAGATGGTTGGGATGTCTCCGGCGGTTTGCTTGTTTGGTTGCTTGGTTTATTGTTAAGTCGGGCGAGTCCCCCTAAAAGGGAATTTTCGACGAAAAATAAAAAAAAAGTACCCAAACAGTATTCCAAAATGGCCAAAACCCATGTTTAAGAAATAGTCCCCAGACTATTTTTTACTATTTTGAATTTTCCCCCTGTAGAGGGACAGGCCCTACCTAAGTTTATAGTGTTTTCAAAGAGTGTGAGGATGTCTCAGACATCGCGCTGGCTTCAGCACCCCAAGTGGAAGCCTATCAGGGGTGGTTGCGCAGCCCCTTCGCGCCCAGGTTGCGAGAACGTCTCGGGCGGTTTGCTTGTCTGATGGCTTGGACCTCCTCGCTTTCAGAGCAAATTGCGAGGATGCCTCGGGCAAGGCGCTGGTTTCGGCACCCCAAACGGGAGCCGTCAGGGGTGGGTGCACAGCCCTGGTCGCGGCCATACGGTGGGGATGTCTCAACCGGTGTGCCTGATCTGGTGGCTTGGATGTCGGTGTTTTCAGAAAAGATGGTGAGGATGTCTATTTCGAGGCGCTGATTTCAGTACGTCAAGGGGGACCGCCAGGGGTGGTGGGGACGTCTCAGGAGGTTTGCTTATTTGATGGTTTGAACGTCGGCGCGTTCAAAGCAGAATGTGATTATGTCTCGGGCGAGGCGCTGATTTCAGCACCCCAGGCGGCCAGATCAAGGGGATGTACCGAGCGAGGTACTCGGTTCTGCACCTACGACTCCTGTCCATTCAGAGCCCCATCATCATAACGATGTAGGGAGAAGGACGGCCGCCAGGACGGAGGAGGGAGGCCGGAGGAGGCTGGAGGAGAACGCAGGACGAGGGAGAAGGGAGGCGAGAGGAAGAGAAGGGAGAACGCACGACGGGAAGGAGCACGATGGAGAGGGCAGGGGGCCAGCTCACCGCCTGTCTGTCTGTGAGCTGTTGTCGTCGCCGTTCCTCGTCGTAGCCGCCGTCGTCGTCGTACTCGTCGTCCACTCGGACTCGTTCTCACCCACAAACACCCACGGCCAGATACTCACAGCTGGACGTGCCAGGAAATGAGACGCACAGATGGGGACATCCGCGTCGAATAAGTTATGCAACCTCCCGTGCCCATCGCCTTACAATTCTGCACCCCCTTCTGCGGGGTGTGCTTGAATAACATCCACACTGCCAACGTTGAATGCGGTTCACGGTGATGATGATGTCGATGATTATGACGATGTTGATGATCATTACGACGGTGATGATGACGATGATGATGACGATGCTGATGATGATGATGATGATGCTGATCATGATGATGATGTTGAGGATGTTCATGGAAATTATGATCATGATAATGATCATGATGATGATGGTGATCACAATGACGGTGATGGTGATGGGGGTGGTGATGCTGATGGTGATGGTGACGGTGGCCCCCAAAACGCCCCAAGATGCCCCCAACATAAGGAAGCCCAAGAAGTTCCAGGAGAACCCCCCCCAGGGATTGGCCCCAAAGGCTCCGAAGATGCCCCCACGTGCACCCCAAGAGGCCCCAAGAGGCCCCAGGGAGACCCGGGAGGCCCCGAGGAGGTTCCGACAGGCTCTCCAGAGGCGCCCCCCCCTGGCTCCCAAGGGCATCCCAAGAAGCGCCGCAACAAGTCCCAAGAGACTTCCAGCATGCCTGCTCATCCCATTCCTCCGCCCATCAACGGCGGCCGCGACGCCCAGACCTCGCGCTTGGGACGCGCACCCTGCGACGCGAGGACCAGGGCAGCTCGGGGGCTTGCTGGGGCACCAAGCAGAGAAAGCGCGCCACTGGATCACCCTGTAGTTGAAAAGGGGGGGGGGTCCGAACCCCCCCCCCTCCCCCCCCTCAAAGGGGGGGTGAGATTTTCGACGACCCCCCCCCCCTCCCCCCCTTAAGGGGGGGTGGGGGGGTCCGACCCCCCCCCCAAGAGAGGGGGGTTCGACCCCCCCCACCTCCTCCCCCCCTTTGCGCCGAAAAGGGGGCCGGGGACAGCACCTCTCCCGCAAAGGGGGTGGGTCTGGCCTCGGTATAATGAGTAAATAGTAGTGAGTAGTGTGTAGTGAATAGTGAGTAGTGAGTAGATAGCAGCCAGTAGTGAGGAATGAGGAGTGAGTGGTGAGTAGTGCGCAGTGAGTAGTGAGTAGTGAGTAGTGATTAATGGGTAGTGGGGATCGGGTAGGGAGTAGTGAGTAGCGAGTAGGGAGTAGCGAGTAGTGAATAGTGAATCGCGAATAGGGCGCTGTGAGTAGCGAGTAGTGAGGAGGGAACTGTCACTAGAGAGTAGCGAGCAGGGAGTAGCTGGTAGTGAGTAGTGAGCAGCGAGTAGGGAGTAGTGAGAAGCGAGAAGTGGGAAGTGGGTATCGAGAATGGGGCAGTGGGTAGTGCATTGGAAGTAGCGACTAGTGAGTAGTGGGTAGTGGGTAGTGAGCCGTGAGTTGTGAGTAGTGAGTACTAAATAGTGAGTAGTGACTAGCGACTTGTGACAAGTGACTATTGAGTAGGCAGTAGGGAATTGTGAGTAGTGAGTAGGGTGTAGTGAATATTGCGTAGTGAGTAGTGGGTAGTGAGTCGTGAATAGTGAGTAGTGGGTAATCACTAGTGAGTAGTGAGTAGCGTAGCGACTTGTGGCTAGTGATTAGTGGGTAGCGAGGAGGCATTAGCGAGTTAGGGAGTAGCGAGCAGTGAGTAGTGAGCATCGAGTGCTGCGTAGGGAGTAAGGAGTAGCGAATAGCGAGTGAGTACTGA